ACAGAGTGATTTCAAAGCCAGTCCTTTCTTCATGGCATCAGCCACAGAATTTTCACCTCAGTCACCCTGGCTAGGAATGCTGTTTATCCCCCAAAGTGGTGCTCATGGTTACCTAAAGGGAAAGACTGGTCAGGTTTTCTTAAAAGCAAGAGGCCTCTACCGGGAGCCTGACGGTTCAAATTGGGATGTTTGATTATAGATTAATAGGACTACAGGACCAGTTTAGTTTCCCATAAAGTGGTGATACTTATTTTTGGTGAGGAAATATTTGACTAAAGGGACCAAATCCCCTCATTGTAATACCCAGTTACAAATTCTGGCCATATTTATTTGATGACGTTTAGAAGGGAATACTGGATACGTGAGGGCTTCACCCACAGCTGCCATTCACGGTTCAGGGGAACTTCAACTTCTTGGGCCTTGTTTTCCCACGAAGGAAATGAAGGGAATTGGATTAGTTAATTCCCACAAAGCCCTTTTGTGTCTACAGGTGTTTTTCGGTGATATAAAATAATGATCACTCTCAGTGTCTGTTTCCTCCTGGGTGATGGGTGTTTTCTGTTCTCCAGCAGATGCCAGAATGCTAAACTCTTTGGGGATTCAAAATCCTTTTAGGTATGATTTTTTAAAGTCTTATGAAAAACCGAAGTACATAGTTACCTGGAATGCTGGGCCTAGACCCTCTGTTTCTCAATTAAATATAAAAGGAACCTTGGTTTCGGTGAGTGGGGATGGAGGTTGAATGGGTGGGTATGTGCCTGTTAAGTCTACTCTACTTCACTGTCTCCTAATAAGAAAGCTGTCACATTCAAATGTACCTAAAAGCAGAAAAGGTCCATCAAATCAGAGGCAGGATTTTTTTGTAATGGTGTTTTACTTACTGCTTCCCCAACTCACTGTTTGGTTTCTACAAAACGATCACTTGAGAAACTAAAATGTTCATGCTGTAACAAAAATCTGGGGCTTACGGGGTTTTTCCTACCCCAAAGGTACAGAGTTTCTGTTACCCATGTCAGTAACTCACCCTCCTCCTCATCCTTTTCCCCACCCCACATCTCTGAGGGTGGAGACTCACACATAGTAAACTCCTTGGCAATGAATAAGTAACTTTTTGCCCTTGCCTCTTAGAGAAATTTAAGCTTATAAGGACTTAACTGATTCTTTGATATTTTTTAAAAACTTGAGGTGAAATTCACATAATATAAACCTAACCATTTTAAAGTGAATAATTTAGTGACCGTACACTCACAGTTTCTGCAACCACCACCTATATCTAGTGCCAAAACATTTCGATTACTCCAAAATAAAATCCCGTATCATTAAGCAGTTTCTCTCCATTCCTTCCTCCCCTTAGCCCTTGGCAACCTCCAATCTGCATTCTGTCTCTGTGGAATTACCTATTCTGGATATTTCATATAAATGGAATCATACAGTATGTGACCTTTTGTGTCTGGCTTTTTTCACTTAGCATAATGTTTTTGAGGTTCATCCATACTGTAGCAGTAACAACCTCATTCCTTTTGTTGCTAAGTAATATTCCATTGTATGTGAATATCACAATGTGTTTATCCATTCATCTGTTGATGAACACTTGGGTTATTTCCACTTTTTGGCTACTGTGAATAGTGCTGTGATGAATATGTGTCTGCATTCACATTGAGTACCTGTTTTCAATTTGGGGGTATATACCCAGGAGTAGAGTTGCTGGGTCATATGGTAATTCTTAACATTTTTGAGCAACTGCCAAACTAGTTTTCCACGGTGGCTGAATCATTTTACCTTCCAACCACAATGTATGAGAGTTCCAATTTCTCCATATCTTTGCCAATACTTTGCTATTTTCCATTTTTAAAATTATTATTGCGCATCCTTGATTCTGAATCCTGATTTCTACCTGATTCTCAAACCTGGTGATTCTCCTTTTGGTGATTTCCTCTCATTAGTCTTTTTTTTTTTTTAAGGTTTTATTTATTATTTGAGAGAGAGAGAGAGTACTGGGGGGGGGGGTTGGGCAGAGGGAGAGGGAGAAGCAGACTCCCCACTAAGCAGGACTTCTCCCAGGACCTGGAGATCATGACCTGAGCAGAAGGCAGACGCTTAACTGACTGAGCCACCCAGGTGCCCCCTCCTATTAGTCTTGTAATTAAACCAGATAACCCCTTCTCACAAGTTATTTCTCTCTTACTGAGCCTTAGCTTTATGGCTCTCAAGGAAGAGTCTTTATCAACTTAAGCTATTTTCCATTTCTCTTCATGCTAACCGTTTTTATATTCTTTTCCTTAATCTCCTGCCAGTGGTATCTGATAATAGTTTCCTGATTAGCTGGGAGCTCCATATAAACATCAGTACTATCAGTCCATAACCCAGTACAGCCCCCACTCAGTACAATGTGCCTGCATAGCTTGGAAGGTGGAAGTAATAGTGGTGGTGGGTGGTGGGGAGAGATGAACAACATCTGACTGATCACCTCTCAAGAGTAGGGACCATGTCTAATGCATGTTTGTATCCACTTTAATCCCCAGAGCAGTTCTAATGAAAGATCCCTTGAAACTTAAGTCTCTAAGGAGTGACAGTGGTACAGTTTCCCTCCTCTAATAATCTCTTCTCGTACAATGAAATGTAAAACTTTTGCTGCCGTTTGTCTCACTCTGTGAGTCAATATTAGGGAATCAAGATGTTAACTAGACCTGAGTGGATCAAAGGAAGTCCCTTTTGCTGGTAGCTAAGTGTCCACAGGTGCTGATGAAGGTCATGTTCTGTGGTCGTGTTCATGGCATGCTGAGAGAGAACATTCCATAGTTCATACTGTGCCCTGTGAGGCAAAAGATGAACTTTCTGATACACCCACGTAGTGAAGAACTAGAAAACTGCTCTAGGGTATGTGTTTGTGGGAATATGGCTGTCACCACCAAATTCTTTTGTATTTACCAAAATATCACTTCTCAAGTAAACCTAAAGAGATGTCTTCCTATTAAAAGTACTTGGAAATGACAATGAAATTTTAGTCTTAAGAAAATTTGGGTATTGTCTTTATATTAAAGATTATATAAACTTGGATTTCTTTATAGGTGCCAAAGAACGTTCTGAGATCTATGAAGCATTTGAAAACATCTATCCTATTCTAAAGGGTTTTAAAAAAGCCTGAGTATGTCACTCAGCATCTCACATTATATTGGTTTGAGTGTGTGCATAAGCCCAGTGCACAAACCACTAGACTGTAGATTTTCTATGCAGATTTTGACTTTATTTGTTAAAAGATGATTCCATATGAGTATCCATGCCTAAGAACTGAAGAAACTTCTTTTTCAAAATGACACGTTATTTTAAATACTGAAAAAGTAAACACTTCAGAATTTGATTTAGGACCTTGTTAGAAGGATGTTTAATCATTAAAATTTAATGCTCTGCTCTTGTGAAAGATGTAGTCTGTTAACATGTGTTCTCTGAAAATACATAGGAATATACAGAAATTTCAGATAACTGCATAGAATAGATCATATCTGCAACAACATCATCTAGCAGGACAGAAATTTTTTTGCCTTTTAAAATATTGAGTAGATGGTCCTGGCCGCTAGATACGGGCACTGTGAAGGATCCTGTCAGAATACAAATGAAAGTCTGAAACCCTAAGACAAATTAAATATCCTTTTGTTTGAAATGATCAGAGGAAATTATTCCTTTTGCTTAAAAATAAACTTTCAGGAACCATTCAGGTTTAGTGTAAGCTCTATTTTGAAAACAGCTTAGGGAATTACTGCTTTTTTTGTGCCTTAATCTATGTCATGGTATTACAATAGACTAGATAAGACTAGGAGGATGGAGCAAAGGGTTCAGATGCGAGACCTTGTGGAATCCTCAGAATCTGATGGAGATGTGCAGGTTATGGGGGGGAGGGGATGGGACTAACTAACATGACTCATGGCTCTTGTTCCCAAGTGGTTAGGGATTATGTCTTGCACCAAGATGAGGAAACAGATTTGTGAGGAGGGAGAGTTCAATTTCGGACATGCCACGTTTGTGGTGGCCACCTTACATCACTTTATGCCTCCTAGGTAGTTGTGAATCTTTGGGTGTGGAACTTGGGAGTCACAGCTAGAGAATTCAAGGCAGTGATCAGTTGACAGCCTACCAAAAGAATCCTTGAGAATCACTGGTCTAGGTAAACTGACTTATAGGCACATTTTTCTTTTTTCCTTCTGTAGTTTGGAGGCATTTTCAAACACGAATTACTCTGACTTAATCCTCCCACGCACCCTATTTACCTCCACAGAAAGTGATTTGGAGTAATCGAGTTAGGTTAAATTCTGCCTAGTTCAAATTCTTTCTCAGAGCAAGGTCCAGAGAAGACTGTTGGACATTAATTTAAAATTCAGTTTTCAGAAAGATAACTTTGATTTCCACGTTTAGCACGATTGTTTCCACTTGTTCGCTATTATCAGTAAAGTACTATCAGATTCCTGTTAAAGGTATGGTTCACCTGCACGACGTTGGGTAGGTACTGTATCTCCATGTAATAGATAAGAACACAAGCACAGAAAGGTTAGGAATTTGACCCAAAACACAAACCTATAAAGGAGGTGGGTGAGCCCAAATACAACCTTTCTCCACGACCCAGCCCCCTCACCCGACTTTGCTGTACTTTTCAGCAAATTTAAAAGCACCCATAGCGAATTAAAGAAATTCCCTGATTTTGTTCCCAATCCGTTTTCCCAGAATCCCTAGGGCATCGTATTACTATTTCTTGCACAAGCTTGAGGCGTTAACTTGTAGCCCTGGCATGATCAAGAGAATGATGCCATTTTGGCTGACTCGCCCCTCTAACCTAATTCTCTACGCTTCGGGCTGGCTGCCCCTCTGCAGGCAGGAAAAGCAACAGCGCCGCCCGCCCGCCTGGCCAAGAGCACGGAGAGGCTGGGCAAGAGGCTCGCCGGTCCCCGCCCGCCCTCTCGGCGCCTCCCCAGGCCCCTCCTCCTCGCCCAGGATGCACCTGGTTGAAAACAAAATCCCACGTGACTGCCTCTGCTCTCAGGCCATCATGGCGTCTCCCAGTGGGAAGGGATCCCGGGCGCCGGAGGCTCCTGGCTGCGGGCCGCGGCCGCTCGCCCGGGACTTGGTGGACTCCGTGGACGACGCGGAGGGGCTGTACGTGGCGGTCGAGCGGTGTCCGCTGTGCAACACCACCCGCCGGCGGCTGACCTGCGCCAAGTGCGTCCAGAACGGCGATTTCGTCTACTTCGACGGCCGCGACCGGGAGAGGTACGGCAGCCGCCGCGGCTGTATTGTTTCTTCCCCGGGTGTCTCCTACCGCTCCGCGAATGGAGGTTAGAGCCTGGGGCCCGGGTCCGGGGCCCGGAGCTCCGCGAGAGGAGGGGAATATGGAGAGGGTAGCAGCTTTGCGCCGGCGCTTTGCTCCCGGGGGTCGGGGGTGGGGACCAGAAGAGGGAGGGTCGCGGTTTCTCCACTAACCCACCCGAGAAGAGTCTGACCCCACGGTGATCCTGGGTACTAAAGGTAAGAGATAGATGGTGACCCTGGATAAGTCTTCCCCTATTGCTGTCATAGAGTTGGATTCTCGGCACTTGGCTGGACTTCCATTCAGAAGCTTGGTTTAAGCGTTGTCTTCCAAAGCACGTTCATTCTCTAGAGGAGAGACCAGGAGAGAATCAAATAACTAACTGGTTAAGGAGGATTCGGGCCATGGTGCCCTATGTCACAGCTGGACCTTGTTAGGAGACATGTTTATTCTGATGTGTGAACTAGGACTAGCTAGTTGCTCCCTTTTCCCCTCTCTGCCTCCGAAGATTATTTTGGACATTAAGACATTTGGCGATGTGTTTTGGCTTTATTTAAAAATCCAGACTGGGAGGCGTAAGTAAGGCCGTAGTTAAGAGAATTGAATTTCGGAGCATGTTTTGGCCTTGTTTTGAAATCTAAACACAGAGCTACTAGTCTCTGGTTAAGATAATTGAAAAATTAGGGACACCTGACCTGGGTGGCTCAGTCGGTTGAGTGTCTGCCTTCGGCTCAGGTAGTGATCCCAGGGTGCTGGGATCGAGCCCCGCATCGGGCTCCTTGCTCAGCGGGGAGCCTGCTTCTCCTTCTGCCTGCCGCTCCCCGTGCTTGTGCACTCACACACACACTCTCTCTCTGACAAATAAATAAAATTAAAAAGATAATTGAAAAATAAGTGATTAACTGCAGGATCTCAACTTTTGTTTCAGTGATTTAGTGTCATTGATAGTAAGGTAACTTTTCTGAGAGCGAAAGTTCAGGTATTCATTTACAACAACCCAATACGTTTTTATCTCCAACTTACTGTTGAGGTAACTGCACAGTAAGTGCCTTGCCTTGGTCACACAGATAATAAGCAGAGGGACCGGAATTAAAATCCAGACAGCCTGAGTATATCATATATCATGCACTTAACCACAGGGTTGTACAATCTCTATATTTGGAAACGTTTTGAGTTCCTACTATTTCTCTGATCATAAATGGAGTTTCTCTTTTGGATATCTTTTTAGTTCATTACTGTGTCTCATTGATGCACTTGATGGCTTTAGAAATTGCTGGTGCAATAAGTGATAGCTTTCAAAATTGAACCAGTTGTTTTACTATAACACTACTAGGCATGAGATGGCAATGTTTAACTGATGGAGTTTATCAAGGGTGCAGTTCAGGCCCTTCTTCTCTGTCTCCTTTTTCCCAGATCCACTCCCATGATTTAAATAATGTTTGTGTGTTAAAGACTGCCTGTCAGACTTGTATCTCCAACCCAGACCTCTCTGAGATCCAGTAAGCAGCTGCCTACTCAACATGTTTCTAAATTTGTAATAAGTATCTCCATTTTAGTATGGCAAACTGAATTCATGGTTTTCCATGATAAATCTTTTCCTCCCATGCTCATCCCAACCAACCCAGTAAACGGTAACCTCATTCTTCTTTGATACAGGTCCAGAAAAACTGCCTATCCTTCCTTGACTCTTCTCCTAATGCCACCATATCTAATCCCATCAAGAAATCCTGTTTGCTCTTTAAAACCCGTCTAGGGGCGCTTGGGCGGCTCAAATGGTTAAGCGTCTGCCTTTGACTCAGGTCATGATCCCACGGTCCTGGGGTCGAGCCCCATATCGGGCTCCTGGCTTAGCGGGGAGCCTACTTCTGCCTCTCCCTCTGCCTCTCCCCCTGCTCATGCTCTCTCTCTGTCTCAAATGAATAAATAAAATCTTAAAAAAAACACCTATCTAAATCTGACCCTTTCTCTGTTTCCTGGTCTGACCCACCAGAGGATTATTGCTTCTTGAGTCTCTGCTTCCACCCTTGCTCCCTTATAGTGTAATTTCCATCTTGCAGCTGAAGTAACACCGCTCCTCCACTCTTCAGATCTTCAGTCTTGCAAGGGTTTCCTGTTTTACCCAAAGTAAAAAAGGCGAAATCCTTGACAAGAGTTCCATATTGTCTATTCCCCTGTGATCTCTTTTTTCCCTTACCTACTCTGCTATACCACCCTGGCCTCCCTGCCAGTCTTCAAACAGACGAAGAGCACTCCTGCCTCAGGGCCAATGCAGTCGTACTCAGACTGCCAGGAACTCTTTTCTCCCAGAAATCTTCAGGGCGGCTTCCCTTGTTTTCTTTAGGCCTCTGCTCAGATGTTAAAGAAGCTCTCTTTAACCATTTAATTAAAATAGTAACCTCCTTTCCCATTTAACCTGCTCTGTTGTCTTCCATAGCACTTAGCACTATCTTATGGTTTACATATCAATTTGTCTAACTGCCCCCCTCCCCACTCCAGTGGTGGAAGCTCTGTGAAGACAAAACTTTATCAGTTTTGTACTCTGCTTTATCTTCACATATTAGAAGCTTAATAAAGATTTATCGAATGATTGAATGACACTATCCCTTTTTCCTAAACTTAGTCTGATCCTAAACCATTTCATGATTATCCATCATGATCTATTTGTTACTAAAGCCAGAAACCTGGGAGTTATTCTAGACTTTCCCTTTTTTTCTTATTCCATGTCTCCAAATGATTGGCAAAGCTAATTTGATTTGCTCCAAAATAGATCTTGAATTGGTTTACTTCTAGTCCAGACAACCATCATTTCTCTCCCGACTATTTATTGGTTTCATTTCATTTACCATACAACTCCTCCACACAGCAGCCACAGAAATGTAAATCAGATAATGTCGCTGTTTTGTTTAAACTTCTCAGTGGCTTTCCACTGCATTTAGAATAAAATTCAAGCTCCTTACTGTGGCTTTATATAAAGCTTCATTTGATTTGTCTACTGCTTATCTTCTAACTTTGGCTGTAAGTTTGGATTCATACTACATTGAATTGAATCCATACTCCACCACCTGCTATTTGATTTTGAACAAGTTTCTTACGCTCTCCTATGCTTGTTCATGTCCTTTTGAAAATGGGGAGGGGGAATCTAACTTCATAGGTTTGGTAGTGATGACATAAGAGCGTGCATTGAAGTACTTAGCATGATGTCTAGCGTATATTAAGCACTCAGAAAATAAACTCATGCCATGTTCCTTCATACTTCTCCGTAGTCAGGAGCCTTCCATCAGATCCTCAAACATATGAAACTTTTCCACCACTGGGCCTTTTCCCTTGCTGTTCCTTGTGCCTGAACACTTTTCCTTCCAATTGCCACTTTGTCTTTCAAGTCTCAACTTAAATGTCACTTTCTCAGCGAGGCCTTCCCTGACCTTCGCTAAGGTGTATGTTCCCACTTCATCTCCCCTCCGCCATGCCATCGTTTTCTGTAGCAATGCTCAGTTCTTTCATGGTACTGAGCATGATATGTAATGTTACTTATTCAAAGAAGATACCTGCATCCAGAATGTGGTTGCATGAAAGCATGAATTCTGGGTTTGTTCGGTCACCGGTGTGGAGTGGCAGCAGCGGGTGGTACGGGGGAGGCGTTTTGTTGAAAGAAGGGCAAAGCTAATACCACCGGAGAAACTGAGGTTGAAATTTTTTGCTACATCTGAACATTAAAGTGAATTTTCAGAAGATGGGTGTGTAATCATGGATTTCTTTTTCCGACCAAGCGGAAAAATGAAGAGCAAATACCAGAACTGTTCAAAATTTTTAGAGATAAAAAAAGAAACTTTAGGGTTCAGGGATGACAGGACTGCCACGGTGGTCTGCCCAGCCTGCTTCACTTCATTCCCCATCTTTCCCTTTTCCCAACTGTGCATTCCTTAATAAGTGGCATGTTTTGTTTTGTTTTCCTTTGTTCCCCAGAACAGTGCCCAATATCTAGTAGGATGTAAGAATCTCTTAAGACCCAGGACCACTGTCCTAATAGTCAAATCATTTTTAATGAGCTCTCAGTGGGTACAGCTCTCTGCATAAAATACCCTGGCAAGTTACAGAGGAGAAAGGTCTCTTGCTCTCAAGGAATTACACTTAATACTAATAAGCCTTAAATTGTGCTGGTCATAGCTTGATTGTGAGATATTCTACTGTCTTCAGTATTTATGAAAAATTTTGTATTCTCTGCTTTGCTGCCTTCAGACTCTTTTTCCTTGTGCTTTATGAAAAGCCCCTCACTAACTTCAGGAAAACACTCGGAAATAAAATACGGACACAGCACAGTTTAAAAACCCGTGTTTTATTTTTATTTATTATTTTTACTATTAACATATAATGTATTACTTCAAGGGTACAGGTCTGTGATTCATCGTCTTACACAATACACAGCGCTCACCACAACACTTACCTTCCCCTGTGTCCCATCACCCAGCCACCCCATCCCCACCACCCCCCTCCACTCCAGCAACCCTCAGTAAAAACCCTTGTTTAACCTCTGATTTCTCTTTGGTAAATTAGCCAAATTAGCTGTGCCTACATGGATCTTGAATGTGATAACATATATCAAAGTTCTTGTAAATTTATTTTTTCAGGTTTCATTAATAGACTAGCTGAATGTAAAGGTTTTAATAGTTGGGCAATTCAAAGAAAATTAGGTATCAGTGAACAATCTACCTCATAACAATTAGTTCCTTTGACTCCTAAGAAGGGAACATGGGTCTTCATATAATTTTGTGGACTAAATGAGTTTGGCAGATAGATTGATTGAAAAATATCTAAACGAATATTTTGTTGTTTTTCTGTGGGAAGATTTATAATCTTGGTATCTTCATCAGCACTGTCCTGTCCTCATTTCCCACCTTGGCTGCAATCCTAAAACAATACCCACTTTTTTCTCTGATTTTCATCTGCCTTTTAACTTGCGTACTTC